AACAAATAGCTTCCGCCCAGAACTTATTAAGAAGCCCAGATGAAGCTAACATAGCCCTCACCCTCTCTAATAAAGTTCTAACCATCCTCTCAGCAACCCCATCCGGTTGGGGTGTGGAGGGAACAAATTTATGCATAGAAATACTCCAAGTATCACATAAATCACCATCACATAAATCACCAAGCTGATATCACAGAAATCAAAACTGACAGTGGTCCTTAAAAAATTTATTTTCTTACAGGTTTGTTTTCCAACAAGGGTTTTCCACTTTTTAAACATATCAAAAACTTCAGATTTATTTTCAATCAACAAAACCCACACTTTCTTTGAAAAATCATCAATCAACGTCAGAAAATAATTTTTCCCACCATGTGTGGAAACACTATAAGGACCACTCAAATCAGCATGAATACAATCAAGCACATTAGTACACTTAGGCAGATCAGGAAAACCAACTCTAGACTGTTTTCCTAGCACACAGGGTTGCACACAATTCACAGAATCAAGTACGGGTTCAGCATGACAAACATACAAGTTGTTTTTCATCTCAGCTTTGAAAACAACTAAACAACCTTTCACAACTTTCATGATTCCATTTCCCCATTTTCCCTTCAAACCCTCATTTTCAAGAGAAGCACAAGATAACAAATTACAACACAACTCAGGAACATGCCTAACATTCTTCAAAGTAAGCACAAAACTAGAAGAGAACCTAAGACATACATCTCCTATTCCTAGTACAATGCATTTCTTCTCATTTGCTAAAGACACAAAGCCATGCTCAATCTCTCTATAGTTTGAATTTAACATTTTTCAAAGGGGACATATGAAAAGTACAACCAGAATCTACCACTGTCGTGATGTGCACTCAAAATAATAATCAATACGACACTAATACATAGTATAGTGTAGTAAGGTTCGTATCCACAGGGAAAGGAATTCTTTTCTTCTTACAAGAATAAATAAGTAACAATAAGGGGGGTTTATATTTGGTTGAAGAACTTTAAATTATATTTAAACACGAAGATGAACGAGTTATGTGATTTAATTAATGAGAAGAAGACTTGGCTTTGCTTTTATCCACTTAATGAAATGTTCGTCGATCCCGGTTATATCTTTAACTATCTTCCTCTCGAATACTCAATCGAGGAGTATATCCAATTCATCGAGGGTAGTTATTAATAACGAGACGCGTTCATTAATAAAACTTACTACCGAGTTAATATAGAACAAGCGCCGTATATTAACTTGATAGTAGCAATAAAATCAAGATGAAAACGATTGAGATTGATAACCTCAACACAAGCGGTTTATTGGTATAATCAATATAATTAATTCCCCTTGGCTTATTAATCATGAGAAGCATGCATTAACAACCCAAGTTTACTACCATTGAAAGAACCGAATTAATAACAAGCGTGTTAACCGATTGATTCTAGTAATAATTAATATATGAAACAAAACTAGTTGATCCTTTAAGTAATGTTCAAAATATTAATATGAAATATGAATAGGAATTAATTAATACTCAAGAAAGAATATTAAAGAAGATGAATCCTACTATAGTTAATATCAAGATGTTAACTAATTGTCATCTTAGTAACACTCCCCGATATTAACGTAGAGGAAGAAATAACTATTACTATAACTAATGTCAAGATGTTAACTGATTGTCATCTTAGTAACACTCCCCAACATTGATATAGAAATAGTATTTAAAGAAAGAATTAATATTCAAGGAAGAAGATTAAAGATAATAACTCACAACTTACAAATTCATTAAGCTTCAAAGTAGCAAAACCAAGATGGAAGAGTTTAGCTCCTCATTTGGAGACTAAACATGCTATAAAAATATAAAAGAAATACTATTCTAAACTGAGCTTAAGAGTATGGAAGAAGGGATCATTATTTGTGAAGGAAAATGGGGCTATTTATAGGTGTTTTTCAACACCTTTGGCCGGGTACCCGACCGGGTAAAGTGCCCACCCGACCGGGTGCATGTCAAAATCAAATATCCTACACGTTCTGGCGATCTTCGGCACGTTCTGGTGTTCCGGGTCAAGTCGGACCCGACCGGGTGAAATACCTCACCCGACCGGGTGACGTAATTTCCTGAGTACCTGCATCTGTTAGATCAGACCCGACCGGGTGAAGTGCCTGACCCGGCCGGGTCTATGCACCTGGATATTTTTCTTCTTCTTTTTCACTTCTTTTCCTTGCAAATAACTCTACTACTACTTTACAAAAAATGATTAAAATCAATTACAAACAAATGAAGATGACTGCTTAAAAACTAACTAAAAACGGTAAACAATCCACACAGAATAAATATAAAAACATACATTTATGCACTACAAACTAGTGCATATCAAATACCCCCACACTTGAATCTTTACTCGTCTCGAGTAAATGCAATCCAAAAAAATCCTTAAATGATAAGATCATCATCCATCACAAAGTGTTTTTAGAACCAAGATAATCACAAAGTATCCCCAAACATAAAAAGAATACATCAAGGGGTCTTCAATTTCTTTCTCCTCATGCAATGAACTTCCTTTAGTAACCACCCTTAGGATCTGGATAGATCTCCCCCACCGCTAGTCCATGGCACAGTCCCTAGTGCCCGCCCGCATCTCCGCCATCATAGAATCCTCCATAGCCCTGGTAGCCCCCAAAGTGTGCATCCTCATCCATGTGATCACCACCGTAGCCGTCGTCCCCGCCTCCACCACTAGAGCTCGAACCGCCAAAATAACCCCATTCAGTGGGGTTATACCATGAGGGTGCCGGAGGAGGAGTAGTCATAGAGGCAAAGTCGCCCTGATGCGCTACATAGGAGTAGATAGGGCCAAAAGTCCTCCTCTGGTCCTCATGATCTCTCCGCCGATCTTCTTCGTATCTCCGCCAATCCGCTCGCCTTTGCTCCTCGACCCTCTCATAGTGCTGCCTTTGCTCAGTTCTATACAAAGCAACTTCCCCCCGAAGTTGAGTGTAGTTAAGGTTCAGAGCATTCATGCTATTTAGCATTTCTTGCTCAAATGGGGAATATTGGTGAGCATTGGGTTGTGGTTGAGGTTGTTCAGGGATGATGGGTGGTGGTTCATGCGGTTGTTCTTGTTGGTAGTGCAGTGGTATTCTTCCAGGGAGACAATAGTGGTGTCCATCACCAATTTGGTGATTCAAAAGGTCCAAAGGGAGGTCGGCTGAGGGCATTTGTGTGTAAATAGGATGTGGTGGATCAATTAACCAATTGTAGATATCTACCCCACCGGGTGTTTTATGAGAAAAGACAATATCTTTGGTATTTTTCAAGAGCCATGCTGTGCAAACAAGCTGTGCTGAGGTAATGGGGCCTGGGTCTACAAAGCCATAGAGTGTGGCTAAATGTGTAATCAAGCCCCCTACCCTAATAGTTCCCGTGGAAGTTGCCACTGTCTTGAAGTGATCCCATAGAATGGAGGCAACATCCACGTGATCCGGACCTGGTAAAACAGCTTGTCCAAGAATACAAACATCCCAGACCCTTGTGTGATGGTTATTTGGTCTTCCGAGAAAACAGTTTGACAAAAATTTCAAGAAAATTCGGAAGACCGGATGTTGTACACGATTCACACTAAGGTGTCTAAGCTCCACATCCACCTGTCCTGTCATCCTTTGCCACATTTCCACACCCACAAAAGTGTCATGTTCACGTTCTTCATTGAACAAGGGGAGACCAAAGTGTTGGGCAAACTCCCGCTTGGTCAATGAACGGTTCTCATTCAACAAACGAAATGTGATTCTACTTTCAGCATGATCATCAACATTTGCTATTTGCTTAAATGAGCTAAAGAATTCATACACCAAATGTGGATAGGTAACATATTGCATCTCAAAAATCCTAAGCATCCTAATGTTGGTGAAAATCTCACGCATAATCGTATCAAGCATGAATGACAATAGCGTAGTAATGCATATAAAACGGGATTGTTTTACCTCCCGTTTGATTTGCTCTATGAAGCGCTTTTTGTGGACCTCGGTGTTAAACTTCACACTCTCAAAACCGGGAACGGGTGCAATCTCTTGGTTACCCCTTGAAGAAGATGCTTTGGACTTTTTAGGAGCCATGAAAATTGATTTTTTTTTTTGAATTTTTCTTGGTATTTTCGGACTTGGGTATGATGGGGTTTTGGATTTTGGTTTTTTTGGTGGGTTTTGGGTATTTTGGGTTTGTGAGAGTGGAGGGGATGATTATTAGGAGAAGAAATTGGGATTTCTTGGGATTTTTAGGGCAAAAATCGGAACTTTGGGGTATGGGGTTAGGGTTTTCGGATTTCTTGTAGGGATGGATTTGGGTGGGTTTTGTGGGTAGAAAATGGAAGAGGGCGTGAAGGAGATGAAGAAAATGATTTTATTTGGTGAATTTGGGCGAAAATTGAGTGAGAAATGAAGCTTTTGGTGCTCAACAATGGAGGGGAGAGTGTTTTTGCTCGAAGGAAGAAGAGGAAATGGGGAAGAAGAAGGGTCTGCCCGACCCTTATCAAGCATTTTTCCCGATCACCCGGCCGGGTAAGCTAACAGACCCGGTCGGGTCTATCGATCGCTTATCCAGTGAGTGTTTTTTCAATATGACCCGGCCGGGTGGATTAAGTTGCCCGGTCGGGTCTAACTCCGTGTTATCCAGTAGGTTTTTTAGAAAAACACCCGGCCGGGTATATGAAGTTAACCCGGTCGGGTGTTTTGATTTTACTCTTTTCTGAAACTCCCTTGCCCGGGTGAGTGGCCGGGTGCTGTGTTTTATGAAGGTGCCCGACCGGGTAGTTTGATTTTATATATATATATATATATATATATATATATATATATATATATATATAGAAACTTTCATATCCGAACTTCCGTATACTTTAAAAACGGAACAAACTGTCCCTGCCCGTTAGATTAGATTAACGGTGGTGATTACATTTTAAAACCCTTTATTTTCTCATCCTATTTATCTCATCGTTCTCCATTTTTCAGACCTCACTTAGCACCTCCTCAAATTGATGTTCGCCATTCTCATCATTTTTTCTTCTCCGTCCAGATCTGCGACTACACACCGAAATCGTCTCTCTTCATTTTCTTACTCTTTTTTTTCTTTTATTGCACTGTGTTGAATTTGTTTCGCTGCTATGAATTGATTGCAGTGCAGTCCTTTTTCCGTGAGTTAAAATTGATTTGCGGGCAATCCTTTTTCTTATGATTTATGTGTTTTAATTAGGGTGTTATGACATGTGCTTTGCTTTTATCTTGATAACAGCTTCTTAATGGTAAATATGTTTATTAACAGGTCAATCATCAGGCATGTGGGACTGGTTTGATCCCCAAATGTGGTTGGAAGACCATTTCACGCATATTTCTGATTCTCTCAAAAAGATAAATAAATTGGGGGAAGAAAATGAAGATTTGGTAGAAAAGCTCAAATCATTGAAGAAGAGTTTCACCCATATTGCTCAGGAGAGGCACACCATGGAAGCATTTGTGAAAAGCAGTCTTTATTCAAGACAAATAATAAGGGCTTTAACATTAGATATGTGTAGGGAGTTTGCTAATTACATACTTTGACAAGAAATTAATGTTGTAAGACTGAAAAGTAGTTGAAATGAAACAATTCTATAGTTCTGTTTCAACATATTGTATTCTTGCAGCAATGTTTGAAAGTTTTGTTGTAATGTACTCCGTATCAATTATTAAATCTTATGATTGAAATTTTGTCTGCAATGCATTTTTTGAAAGCTTTGTTTGACCTGTCTAGTACATTCAATATTTTAGCTGCAATGTAATTGAAATAACAGAGCATCTGCAATATTTAAGATTCATGTTTTTTCATGAAAAATGAATGCACCTAGAAGCTGAATTTCTTTTCAAGCCATACATTTGGTTATTACAATACATTTGGCTGTTCTTAACAAGCAATTACAATACATATTGTAAACCATGAATAAAAAATGAAAGTTGTGATATACATAACTTTACCAACAAAATGAAAATTCTAATACCATACTCTTTCAAAACATAATAGAAACACATAGTTCAACAGTTCAACATAATAAAACAGAATAATAGAATTATAGAACATAACAGAACATAATATCTTGGTTGACAAAACATTAGCAAAGTAAACAAAAAAAGAGGTATCTAATATATTAATCCCCTTTTACTACTTTTGGGGCAGTTCCGTTTGTCATGGCCGGATCCCTTACAAACGCTGCAAATACGGTTAAGCGATGTAGATTTTTCCAAACCCGACTTTAAACGTTTCCCACATCCTTTATGTCTGGCATGATCTGATTCAAGGACTTCTATCGAACATGATCCCTCAAAGTCTTTCCTTTTCATTCGCTCATCACTTGTCTTATTTGCTAATAGTTGCTTGAACTTTATGCGCCATTCTTCTAGTAGTTTGAGCCCAATTTCCTGATCTTCTGGTGACTCATCAATGAGTTCGTAGTAACCACTCAGAAAAGCGTCCAACGCTTTACCATTACCCCCATGCAAGGTTCTTCTATGATCTTCTTTTATCTCAACACCGGAGTAGTCTTTAACATTTCCCCTTCTTGATCCCTTCTTCCATCTATCAAGTATGTAAAACTTAGGAAGTTCATAAATTTTCAAGGTATCTAACACCCTTAGTATATGGGCGCAAGGTACTCCTAAGAATTCAAATTTCTTACATGAACAACTAGCAATCTGTGTTTCCCGAATGAAATGTACTTCCCTACGCATCTTCACCGATGTCTCACTGGACACTCCTTTAAACTCTAAACTGTAAATCATGTGATCACATTCTTCCTTATGTAACTCTAGGGAGTACGTGAAACACCTATGAAGTTCCGACTGGAACTCACAAAACATTGCACGTGTATATAAGTTGGCGAGTTGTACCTCTGCCTCTGTCCCATATTGCCACTTAGGCCTTCCATTCCTATCCTCATGATTAGATTGGTTCTCCCGTTCACGCTGTCGTGAAAGAGCTCTATCAAATCTAGTTACAAACTCATTGAAACCACACCCTTTGTATACAAATTTCTTTAGAAAAGAATGAGTTGTTTCACTTCGTTGTGTTGAGGACATGCCGGCTGAAAAGAAGTTCTTGAAATAAGCAGGAACCCATTGTTCACGAAGCTCAAACATGTAAGACATCCACCCATTATCTTGGAGACCATTTTCCACTATGACATTTGCCCATTGTTCTTCAAATTCTTCAGCTGTTTGTGAGTGTTTAATAACATGGAAAATTTTGCCAAAGGTTGGAAGAGAGTTAATTGGATGCCCGGCTTTTTCGGGTATCTTGCTTAACACATGCCATATGCAAAACCTGCATTATTTGAAGAGTGTGTAGTTAGTAAATAAAGTTATTTAATAACTAATTATAAAACTACCTATATATATAAAACCAGAAACTACACATTGTTACTTCCTTTAAGAAGATCATCGGAAACCACCCGGAGGAGCTTCTCCTGCTTGGCAGATTTGGCAATTTTCTTAAGAGTTATTATCCCATATCATATTACCTCAAAGTAGCCATGTAATAATACACCAAAAATAAATGCATTCAACCTGTGATAAGTCATTGGAAGAAGGTGGCCAATTGCTTTGCCCAAAGCAGGATCTTGGTCCGTAATCATCACACTCGGGGGTGGTCCCGGCATGGCTTCCAAGAATGCCTCTAATACCCATAAATATGATTCAAATGTCTCTTTGTGCATAAATGCACATCCAAACAAGATAGACTGAAAGTGGTGGTTAACACCAACAAAAGGTGTGAATGGAAACCCATATGAGTTGGTGTTATATGTAGAGTCAACAGTAACCACATCACCAAAAAAATGATATGAACGCCTGCATGTAGGGTCTGCCCAAAACGCCAGCTCGATTTTCTTATCATCGTCTGTTTTGATTTTATAAAAGAAAGATGGGTTGTATTCCTTCTCTGACAAGAAGTGTTCCACGAACATCTGCGCATCCTTTCCTTTTACCTTCTGCCTTTCATTCCGAACATGGTTCCGCAAGTCCGTTTCCACAAAACCTATGTCATCAAGACCCCTAGATTCCGAAGTGAATATTCCCATTGCTTGAGGGATGGAGATGTTATTGGATTGCAGTGTAGAAAAGAGTTTTTTCTTCGCATCAGACACTTTGCGATGGGACTTGAGCATATGCACTTTGCTTGGTGTTACACACAAGTGATTATGAGCCTCCTCAAATCCATATACTTCGAAAACCTCACTTTTTTTTCTTTTCACAACACCAAGCATTGCGAGACAACCCGTGCGTGTGCTAGTGCTACACCTTTCATTTTGTATATCATGCATTGGGTTTCTTTCAAAACCCTGTTATTACATGTATAAACTCTTGATTTTACGACCCCATTGGTGTCTTTTTTCACTGACTCTAGGCGAACACTAAACCCAACATGTTTAGCATAAGCATTGTAGAAATCATAAGCATCCTCTATATTTTCAAACCTCATCCCAACATGCGGTTTTTTATCGGAAGGGGCATTTGGAATAATATCAGTTGCAGCATCAAAACACAAATCTTCCATAGTTTACTGAATCAAAATAAGGATAAGAAAATTACATTTTTAAATAACATACCAGTAATAATAATATATAAAGAAGAAAAACTGAAATTAATTAGAATACAAGGACTCTTCATTTCGGTGTCAATAGATACCAGATTTATATAGAATAAACTATAGCTCGCTTGTTACCAGGAGGAACTTGGAAGAAGAGTTGAGAAAGCGCTTGTTAATGGTCCACTCGAGGAGAAAGAGGTTACTCTCTGTACTGTACCTCTGGTTTATGAAAGGAGAAACCTTGAAAGAGAAAAAGAAAAGCTATTTAAAAAACGAGGGAAAGAAAATTTTGGAGAAGAGAAAAGTACAAACGAAGAGAAAGTCCGGTGCAAGGAATAGTGAGTCAGAGAAAATAAACCCAAGCACTGTTTCATCCTTATTTAATCTGCACCGTTAATCTAATCTGACGGGCTTGGAAGGTTTGTTCCGTTTTTTAAGTATACGGAAGTTCGGATATGAAAGTTTCTCTATATATATATATATATATATTTTGCTCACACAAAAATGAAAATGATTAAAATACAACTTGGGTTGCCTCTCAAGAAGCGCTTGATTTAATGTCGCGGCACGACGTTATTTTTATTTTATTTTCTGTTTTAAGTGGGATCATGAGTATCCCTTGTTTCATTTTCAAAGGCCATGTCAGCTTTCTTCCTCGGCCTTTTCCAGTAAGGTTGAATTTTCTTCCTAGTTACCACTTCAATGGTAGGTGGTTTTCCTTTCAAAATGGATTTCCTGGGTTCTTCCTTAACAAAAATATTCAGTGTTGGTGGTTCAAAAACATTAAAAGAACAAAGAGATTGATTTTTAATTTGTTTTTTTGTAGAATCAAATATGGTGAATTCTACTTTTTGGTTATCAAATTCTATCGTTAATGAACCACTAGACACGTCAATTTTTGTTTTGGCGGTTTTCAGAAAAGGCCTTCCCAAAAGAATGGGTGTTGTTTGGTTATCATCCCCCATTTCGAGAACATAGAAATCAACAGGGAAAACCAAATTTTCTACTTCTACTAGCACATCTTCTATTACACCTTTTGGGTATGTATTAGATCGATCCGCTAGTTGAATCACTACACCAGTTTGATGTAGCGGACCGAGTTGTAAGGATTTATACAAGGAATAAGGAATGACATTTATTGATGCTCCCAAATCCAACAAGGCCTTAGAAAATACGGTGTTCCCTATTTTGCAAGGAATAGTGAACATGCCCGGGTCGCTACATTTTTCGGGTAGTTTCTTTTGAAAAAGGGCCGAAACATGTTCACTCACCTTAACCTCTTGTTTTCCCTTCACTTTATTTTTTGTTTTTGTTTTGCATAATTCTTTTAAAAATTTAGCAAAACGGGGAATACTTTTAATTGAGTTAAGAAGTGGAAGGTTTACCTCATACTTGGAGAAAGTTTCATAGATGTCAGCATCTTTGTCAAGCTTCGTTGTCTCCCTCAATGCCTCGGGAAATGGGGCCTCTAGTTCATATGATGAATGTGGAGGCAGTTTTGCCTTCGTGATTCCATCCTCCGGGTGAGCTTCTTCGCGATCAGCTTCCTCGACCTTTTGATCATCCACCTCCTTCATTGTCGTATCACTTCTCAACATGATTGCGTTCACATGTTGTCTCGGGTTTTGCTCCGTTTGAGATGGGAGTTTACCCGAGTCCTTAGCTTCAAGTCGGCTTACGGCATTTGAAATTTGGCTAACTTGAGTTTCCAAATTTTTAATGCTTGACTTTGTCTCATGTTGGAATTGTATCATGGTTTGTTGAAATTGTCCCATGCTTTGTTGCATGGTAACCATGTTTGAAGTCAAAGCTCTTATCATGTCATCAGTTGACATATTAGGTTGAGAATTTGAGCCTTGATTGTTGAAAGATGGTTGAGAAGATGGGTTGGATTGTTGGGGGTTTCCATACCTCAAGTTTGGATGATCCCTCAGTCCTTGGTTGTAAGAGTTGGAG